GGTCAGGGGTCTGTGGTCTCACCTGGTCCCTCAGCTGGGGGGTCAGGGGGTCTGTGGTCTCACCTGGTCCCTCAGCTGGGGGGTCAGGGGGTCTGTGGTCTCACCTGGTCCCTCAGCTGGGGGTTCAGGGGGTCTGTGGTCTCACCTGGTCCCTCAGCTGGGGGGTCAGGGGGTCTGTGGTCTCACCTGGTCCCTCAGCTGGGGGCTCAGGGGTCTGTGGTCTCACCTGGTCCCTCAGGTAGTCGTACAGGTGGTGGTCCTGCAGAGCAGCAGCCCAGTTCTTCTGCCTCCTCTTCATCTCTCTGTTGAACACGTTCACGGAGCCTGCAGCTGACCGGGTCCTGCTGGGTCCGGGTCCGGACCAGAAGCCGGCCTGGAGCCTGTAGCCCCAGGGGGACCTGGTCCAGGAGGTCTGCAGGACTCTCTGACCCAGTCTGAAGCTCATGTCCTGCTCGTCAGACCCTGTCCAACATGTCTGCCGACTGAAACCACTTCCTGTCTGTCACAAGGGGACCCGGATCCTGCAGGGGCCATCAAAAACTCTGGAACTGGATCTGACAAAACCCAGAGCTGCAGCGGACTGTGTTTCAGGATAACCTGCAGACTTTTAATATTTATATTAATTTAATATTTAGACTGAACTAAACCGCCTCAGACCGGAAATACTCTGCTGTCCTGCAGCYTCACTTCCTGCTAATAAAAACAGGAGATTAAAACCTGACATGATGAACTTTATAAAGATACACGAAGATAAAAAAAATAAAATATTGTTTTAATACAGAGTACCTGTTTAACTCGTGATGTTTCTTATTAAAACAGACAGAATCATTAACGTCAGCTCGTCGCCCTTTTTGTCCGCGCTGCTGTCCGTACAGCTCCGGGGGCGGGGCTTCWGTCAGCTCAGAGTGCAGCTGCATGCTGGGAAAACACGTGTGACGCGCAGCGACGAAGAAAAGGTAACGTTGTTGTTTTAAAGATTTTTTAAATTATGTTTAAGTTCATTTGAAACTATTTTCTGTATTTTTTTCTCCGCCGAACAAACTCCATGTTGTTTGTTTTTACCCGTTTTTTGTTCCGGTTTGTTTACGATCATCTCCGTAATGTTTGTTTGTTTGTTTGTTTTTTTGTTTGTTGTTTGTTTATTTAGGTTTATGTTTTGATCAGAAACTTGTTCTTCAGACAATAAAACCAGTTCAACAGTTTTATTTCACCTCAGATGTTTGTTAGTTTCAAGCCGCAAGGTCTCCACCAGCTTCAGTTCATTTTCCCTCAGTTTTAAAGAACCTGGTTCCGGTTCGGTACCAGAACTTCTGGGTTCTTCCTGTCTGCTCGTGTTTCCCTCATTCATTAAGACACCTGAGATTCGGCTCAGTGGTTTCTGTGTTTTTAATGAGAATCAGAGAAACTCTGATCATTTTAACCACTGAAATCATCTCACTTTGTGTGTAAATAAATAACTCAATAAACAAACATGGTTTATATTTTTAAATAATTGATTTCATTATTTAAACTAATTTTATAAAAACATTTCCAGTTTAATGAGATACTAAGTAAAGCTCAGGCCTGCTGTTGATCTGGGCTCTAAATGATCAAATCTTTAGATTTGATCAGACTTTGATCAGGATTTGATCAGGATTTGATCAGGATTTGATCAGACTTTGATCAGACTTTGATCAGGATTTGATCAGGCTTTGATCAGACTTTGATCAGGATTTGATCAGACTTTGATC